GAGGGATTACTGTTGAAACATTTCCAACAAAAACAGTTTTCCTTGGCGATAGCTCGTCTCCTTTGAATGTCGGTAACGGTTCTGCACAGTGCGAAATGGTGATTGTTGCGTCCGCAAAAGGCGCAAGTTTGAGGTAACCTTTGGCTTTGGGTTCTATAATCATCAGTAGATCTGAATTCCCTGGTTTGTTCGCTGTTGGAGCCCCGATGTGTCTCTACAGAGAGTTTGGAGGATATTTCTAACAGCGTTATGAGATTGCCAATTAAAGTATCTTTGTCGTACTGATATTTTGCTAGGACGTCCTTTATTACTGTGTAAGGAAACTTTTCTATGCTTGTTTCAGTCCACATCGGATCGCTAGTGGCCTGTCATATTCAAAAGAGACCATTTGGTTCACAAGTGCTTTAATCTAGCCCAAGCAATCATCACAGCTTTTTGCATTTTGTGTAGCAGCTTTCAAGTCGAAAAGTTTCTGCACTATTTTTGACCTGTTGACCGGTCGGTTGCCGAAGTTATCTTTGAAAGTCTGCACGGTCCACTCATAATTGTTTGCTAGTTCCCTTTAATGACTCTATCGGCCTTCCCTTTCCGGCTGTCCTCGACTAGAACAATCTTCAATTGTGCTGAGTTCATCGCTTGAGCGAATGAGCCCTGCCTTGAGTGAGTGAGCTCATAACTGCCCAGTACTATGAAAATTCCTCTTCGCTACCATGAAATTTCGGTAAGCTGATATTGGGCGGTTTGGTTGTCCGCATCCTTCAGTGCTCTCAGAATTCAGGTCCTCCGAGTTTCCCTGAGACCAGTTTGTTCTGTTACTACTGTGGGTTGATGATCCTTCACTGTCATTATTAGCTGAAGGTAGTTTAAGCTTCCTTTGAGCTTTTGCTAAATTTACTTTAGCTTCAGTTACCTTCCAGTCAGCTGCCAGTATACGATGGAAACAAATGCACTCGCCAAATGTTGCGGATATTGAGATTCTTTCTAAATTTTTTGAACCTCTATGATTTGCATTGGCGTAGTGATTCACGATTTTGTCAACTTTTTCTTGGATAGTTCCGACAGTAGTTCTTGTACGACCAAGTGCTGACGATAAAAGGGTTATATTCACAGGAGCTTTTCCCTCGTTTTCCGAAAACTGAGGTTGCTCCTTAGCACTGTTACTTTTGTACGAGGGTTGCCTTTTATATTTCGGGATTGAGCAACCCCAGTGTTGCAATCTGGCAACTGACTACTCTGTCGTAAAGTTTGACTCTTTTGAGGTTGTACTTACTCAGAGCGTTTTGACATACAGTAGCGCTCAAAAGTCTTCGGTGAAATGCTTTGACGCTTTTTCGTTCATAACTTTTTTCGTAGTAGACCAAATCGCGCAAAATTTGGATATGTTTAACTAGAGCATATTTCACTTTACCCAACACTATTTGACTGCGAAGCTGCAATATCCACAGATAGAGCAAGGTGTTTGTCGCGGTAGCAGATTTTGCTAAAACTAAAGTTGTTGACGTCTGCAGTTACTCAAAACTTATGTGCGTTTTTCTAATCTACTATGTTCGGCATTAGCGCTCGTACACTTTGGACATGACGAAAAGGAAAGAATTCCTAAGAGGACCAATGTTTGTACTTCGAGTTGATTTTGAGTTCTACTTCTTTAGGATATCAGGAACATGACCAGATGGCAGGTTAATAGTGGTATATATTCACAATACACCCATGCTACACATATCGAAATTTCGCGTGATTAGATCCAGTAGGAAAGAAGTTGCTACTAAAAGGTACGGCTGAAGAACCATTTCACCGAAGACTTTTGAGCGTTACTGTATGAGCGCTCCTTGTGTTGTTTACACTAACTTAAAAAATTTACTCAGGCCCTTGGCGCCCCACCCCCCCCC